ATGACAGAAAAGAAAGTCCAGGCATCCTGTCACAGCAATGAAAAATCTGTTTCTCTCTCTCTCTCTCTCTCTCTCTCTCTCTCTCTCTCTCTCTCTCTCTCTCTCTCTCCCTCCCTCCCTATCCACTTGTCTGTCTTTCTAGTGTTGATGGGTTAGGGATGGAGAACACAACTGTGCAAGTATCATGAGGCATTTTCCTTCTAAATGTTCACTATCATTGCTCAGATTCTGAAAAAAAAATATGTCACCAATAGAAAAATATTCTTTTCCACTTTCTTAAACGTTCTCAAGGTTACCAAGAATCTTAACAAATTTTCTTTCTCAGAAATATCAAAACATCACCACAGACAGGCAGACAGAGACATTCTTTGTGTGTCTGTGTTTTTAAAATTCCATTTAAAAAAGTCATCAGATTAAATAAAAACAGGCAAAGTGCATTAGCAGAACTATTTCCTACAGAGCTGTCAATCGCGATTTTTTTTTAAACAAATGTCTCTGGAAGATGGGTCTAACCTTGTCCCTGAGTAAAGGTGGCCACCACTGTCCCTCCTCTGGATGTTTGGGGGCGTGGGGACAAGTCCCTCTTCCTCCAGCAGCGGACGGTCTGCAATCATGCAAAGCGCATGCACTCTCGTCAAACTTCAGAGCACGCGAAACGTTTAAGGAATGTGCCCTAATGTCACAACGGGCAGTTTCCCCTAGACTGCAAACCTTAACATCCATCTAAAGCCCCTCCAGAGGCCTGGCTATCCGGATCTATGGCAGATCCAGGCATCTAAGTGTGAGTCAGGTCCATCTGAGCTAGTAGCAGGAGGAAGTGCAGAGCTAGCCTGTGGACATTCAGCTATTTGCTCACCCTCCCTCCTCTCTCCTCTCTCCTCTCTCTCTCTCTCTCTCTCTCTCTCTCTCTCTCTCTCTCTCTCTCTCTCTCTCTCTCTCTCACACACACACACACACACACACACACCACACACACACACACACACACACACACACACACACACACACACACACACACACACACACATACACAGAGGTCAGCAGTCCTCGGGCAGACAAGGGGTATAGGAAGGCCCCTTCTTCTCAAAGTGTCTAAGGACAACTGCTCTGGACACAGACTCTGCCGCCCCCACAGGTTGCTTGTCAGGCGAGGCCTCCTGGCTTCCTCGAACTCTCTCCTTGCCAAAGTATATTTGAGCTGGAGAAACCTTCCAAAAATGCCCTACTGTGGGCACCAGGTCCACACAGGAAGCAGGCAGTGTATGGTACCAAGTGCCATGTTAGGGCCGTAGAGTTACACCTGCAGTGTTACTAAGGACATCAGCTCAGACGTTTCCGTGCATCTACAACATTTCTTTCTTTTGAAATCAATTTGATTTAGAAATAGGGAGGAGATTAGCCAGATCTCTGTGTGTGTTCAAGGACATTTCCAGAGACCGATCATGTTAACATTGATGAACTGCGGAGTCCATAGATGGATTCAGATTCTGAGCAGACTACGGGGAGGTGGCAGAATTGTGGACGGTGGGGCCTAGTTGGAGGAAGTTGGTGGGGCTGTATCTTGCCCTGGACTTTCTGTTATTATCTCTGCTTCCTGTCCCCACAATGTGAACTGCTCTGTTCTTCTACATTCTCCCCACTGTGATGGAGCAAAACCTCTAAAACTGTGAAATAGACACATTCTTCTTCTCTATTGAAAAAAACTAAATGTTTTTTCTGTATATGTGTGATGTGTGTGTGTGTGTGTGTGTGTGCGCGCGCGCGTATTCACATGTGTGAGTGTGGGCACACATATGATATTGTGGTGGTGGAGGTGGAGTGTGTGTGTGTGTGTGTGTGTGTATCAGAGGATAACCTCAACTGTTTGTTCTCACCTTTCACCTTGTCTGAGACAAGGTCTCTTTCTAGTTTTCTCATTAGCTGCTGTGTACACCAGGCTAGCCAGCCCATGATGTGTACACCAGGCTAGCCAGCCCATGATGTGTACACCAGGCTAGCCAGCCTGTGAACTTCAGCTGATTCTCTCGTCTGCCCCTCTTACACAGCTGGATGAGTACCAAGATTGCAGATATGTGCTACCGTGCCCAGCTTTACACTGGTCCTAAGGATTTGAACTCAGGTCGTTACGCTCGTGTGCAAGCACGTTACCCACTGAGCCATCTCTCAAGCCCCTCTCTAAGGTTTAATGTGAGGTATTTATTCACGATGAAGCAATTGCAACTAACACATTGCCACAGATAGCCCAAGCAGATGAAATTTCCTTGGCTTTCAGGTCCAGGTCATGATATTGCTAACTGTATAACAGAGTGGCTTAAATTAAGAAATGAAATAGTACAAATAAACCAAGACCCTCAGACACGCACGCTCCTCCCATCTTGGGGTCATTTATAGATCAGGTCATTGTCCCACCCACTGCGTTCCTCCTGGATGGCAGCCACCTCTCCCTCACCCTGCTGTCCTTCCATGTGCTTTTAGAGAGCCTGGCGATGGTTGAGTGTTCCGAGCTATAGGCCTCTGTGCTGGCTTTCCCCTTCTCCCCCAACAGACTCCCGGGCTCACTTCACCCCTTCCTTTCAATTCTTGCACCCCTCAAACACTTTGACCTCAGGACTCCTCTTCTGGACTTGCAGCTCTCTCTCTCTCTGGTACCAGGACCCCAGCAATGCTTCATCCCCAGGGCCTGCACGCCAAAAGAGCATTTACTACCTTCCTTTGGCTGGGTATCCCATTACATCACCATCCTCATTCCCTGGCCTTTCTCCTGGTTTCCCTTCACTGTACTTCAGCCTCGGCTAAGACCACCGTCCTAACTCTGCAGCAGCCCTGAGGTGGCTGGAAGTCCCTGGAACCCCACCCCCCAGCTCTGGTGCAGGCGTCATTTGTCATATGTGGTGGCAGGGTGGGCTGTTGGGAGGTGGACAGATCCAGTGCTCTGCTCGCTCCCCTCACCCTGGACCATTCCCTGTCTCTTGCAGGTAGCCTGGCTATGATCCCGTTGGCCCTCACTTCTGCAACACCCCCGCATCACTGTCTCCTTCAGGTGAGCTCCTAGTGGTGGTAACAAGCCTGGCCGTCAGCGGCCTCCTGCTGCTGCCCGTGTCCACCTCCATCTCTCCACGGGCACCTCCCCAGCCACCGCCGCTCATGATCCAGGTGTCCCTTCAGTGATGCTGGCCCTCTTCTCCACATCCTAGCAGCAGTCCCAAAAGTTACCCACCCCTCTGCCTATTCCCAAAACCCCTCTTCTTCCAGACTCCGGGCATTACACCCACCCTGGCTTTCTTCTGGCTAGCTCTCACTGGCTCTTCCTCTTCTTGCATCTATCCTGGAGTTCCTGACCCAGGATTAGCCCTGTACCTCTCCTGTCCACATGGTCCCCTTCTCCTCTCTACCTTGTCAGCCTGAGGCTCCTCTCCCGGCCCGTTCCAGCACTGAATCCCCTGGTTGGGTTTTGGCTCCTCTTCCGGCCCCACTTTGGGTATGTATTGCTCCCTCAGTCCACAGCTCTTTACCCACCACCCCTGACCTCCTTCCCATCATTCACTGACCTCACCCTGACCCCTCTATAATACTACAAACTAGCAACTCTCTTGAGAAGTCCCTACCATTGGGTGTGAACTGTCCCCTTAAGGTCACTCTCTGGCTCTTAATGCTTGTGCTTAAATCTGTTAAAGCATCTGATGTAAAAACAAAACAAAACAACTCCAACTTTGCTTCAATAAAGAAACAAACAAGCCCCGGCCCCTGGCTCCTCAGCCCCTTAGTTTAGCCTTCCCAGCTGAGATGCTCACAGATTCATGAAGGCAGCGGGGCTTTTACTCATTTCCAATTCCAAGATCCCCCAGATCCCTCAAGAGTGTGGGTGCTCTACCCACCCCTGTGCGTTGATTGGGTAACAAGCAGATTATGATCTCACATACTCATTGCTTTAGACCATCAAGAACACTAAGGAAAACAGCAGTCTTCTGCCCCCAGCACCCCATGGAATGGAACAGGGGAGTCCTGTTTCCTAACGGCTTCCAGGCTGACTCCTGGTCTGGGCTTCATTCTAGCTTCCTAAAAAGCTGGGAGACTCTAGATTTTTCTCCCCGCTGGGCAGTGAGCCAGGTGGCTGCCTTTGGCTTTTCTCTAAGGCAGGGATCCCAAGTAACTCCTCATTTACTTGACTACCCAGGTGTGAAGGGGGCAGCTACAGGAGGGGGCCCTGGTACTCTGACCCTGGACAGAAGAGAAGGTCCTTTCTGGCCTCCTCATATGGGTGGCTGCTGCCCTTGTCACCCTTGTCTTTCTTGACATTCCAGCTCTCCAGAGACAGCAGGTTTACCATTTGACAGATAGGGAAACTGAGCCTCTGATACTGGGGGCTTTGCCCAAGGTCAAATGAGCAGCTAGAACCAAGTCTGGAAGTAACTCTCGGAAGACTCTATTGGAGATGTACTGTGCTGGGCAAACGTGTGTGATAACAGATTGCTAAAGACATCACAGCCCATAGCCTTCCAAATAAGATCACCTCCCCTGCAAGGCCAAGCTGAGACGGACGGACCCAAGGGGTGAGATCACCCTGAGACTCTTCTCTGAACGCCTCATGCATCTAAGTGCATAGGCGTATAGCATCCCATAGAGCAGTACAGAAGACACATTGCATAGACTAACAATACCTACCTGCAGTTGAAACCAGACACAGTCACAAGTCACAAGTCTCCAAAGACATGCATTATGGGTAACTAGGATCTCCAGAGCTGCTCTAGAATGTAAGCTTGTGGAGGACAAGAAATAGTGCTCAGCATATGGTAGGGTGGGTAACAAACGTATGTTAAGAGACAGGTAGTCTGGTTGGGTCCCAGAGGTGGGTCCTCTCTTCCAGGATTCTGGATGCTGAGTCAGGTGGGACCCCCCATACCCCAGCCATGTAGGTAGGAATGATAGGACACTGTCAGAAATAAGGTCCCTGGATCACCTCTCTGAGTCTGTCAAGCCCTTGGACCTGGGCCAGCATTCACCTGGGAGATGTGGGACTGTGTCCTCTGGCTCTCGCCGTCACCTTCTGTCTTGTCCGTCAGCAGCCCCTGCACCTGGTACTCCAGCACATAGCTGTCAATGAAGCGCTCCAGTTCCTCGATCTCCTGGGAGCGGCTGCTTCCTGCCTCGGAGGAGGCCGATGCGGCTGATGAGTTCTCCATCCCTCCAGCTCAGGGGCCTGGGCTGGCTGCTGGGGAAGAGGACAGACAGCCTCCGTGAGATGCTGCTGGAGGCCAAGACAATGCCCCACTTGAGAAATTCTCTCCACTCTTAGAAGCAATTTGGTCTCCCAGTTGCCGGAAAAGTTAGTGGACTATTTATTACTGGCTTATCTTTAGCATCATCAAGAATATGCTGAGTTCCCGCTGGGAAGGGAAAGAAACTGAGGCTAGAGGAGGCAGGGACCTGACAGGAGTCCACAGAATGGAGCATAGGCTCAGCCTGCTATGGCAGCCTGTGGCCCCTCCACTGGGCTCTCCCAGGCACATGAATCTCATGGACACATATCATGTGAGGAAGCTGGGCACAGCAATGATCCCACCCTGGCTCCCTGAGGCAAGAACAGGAATTGTGATTCATTTGGATCTTGCAATATTTTGGTACCCAGAGGGGGAAGAAAGGACTGTTCCATGGGCCCCTCCTGGACAGCTATTATAGCCACGTTCTCTTTTTGGTACCCTCCTATTCTGGTTGCTGCTGTCCAATCTGATCCAGGCACAATTGATAGCACCTCACTTCAGGTGCCACCTGCTCGGGGCTGTTCAGACAGGAGACAGCTGCAGGACCCAGCTGGCCCCTGATCCCTGTGACCTGGAGGCCTAAGGATCTAGCACCTCACAGGGACATTCTAGACAGGAAGGAAGCTCTACCTTTTCGTCTCAGATGACGATTCCGAGACAGCAGCTGTGTGACCCGCAGTGGCCTGAGCAGACTGAGCCCCAGCTGTTTATAGTAGTGACCAGACCTCCAGGACCCCTCTCTTACATCCTGTCTTGTTCTCTCTCCTCGGGACACAGTTTACAGAGACACCATACTTCTGTCTTCTACCGAAGTCACTCCTGGGAAACCGACCCTCAAGGCAACCAAACCCCAAGCAGGTGCCAGACAGGTCCGTCTCCCGCCTCTCAGGCTGCAATCTCCTATGTCCTGTCCATCAACTATTTTCCCATTGTGTTTAAAATGCGCATGAACATTCCTTCAAGTATGTTCTCAATAGCTTTAAGTATGGTCACAATGTTATGTAACTATGACTACTACCCATTTCCACCTCCATAACTTTTTCCCATTATCCCAAACAGAAGCCCTTCACCCACTCCACATTAATCCTTCATTCCCCTGGCCCAGGCCCTGGTAATCCTACCTTCCTTCTGACTCTATGACTCCCTTATTCTGGGTACTGTGTTTGAGTGGAGTCATACAATATTTTTGTGATTGATTTATTTCGTAGTGCATTCAAGATTCATCCATGCTGTCACACAGCGGGCACCTCGTGCACTTTTATGGCTGATAAGCTATTGTATCACAATAACAATATTATAATAACACGTCCTATGTAAATACTCTGGCCATCCACTCATCCATTAACTGGCATGTGAGCTGTTTTCGCATCTGGCTGTGGAGAATCTGCTATGAACATGGGTGTGCAAATATCTGTTTGCTCTGTTGTGTTCAATCCTTTGGGGCATGTACCTGCAGGTTCCCCCACATCTACAAGGCAAGAAGGGTGCCCCCTCCACAATAAGTGCTTCTTTCAATCCTTTCCCTCCTAATTTGGTTTCTAAGTCACAGTGGGGGGGCGGGAATGGGAAAACCTCATGTAGCTGGCTGAACTGGGAGCCACAGAGGTGGCTTCTGGTCTTCACAGTGAGAGGGTGAACAAGGAGGCTGGGACCAGGGCAAGCAGCGAAAGAAGAGAAGAGAGTGTGCAAGAGAACCAAGGACTCCCGACTTTTCATCAAGAGGGATGCCCATCCCAGGAGCTGGCCTCCGCAGTGATTCCCAGGGACCTTCCCCTGCCCCTAGTCCCTGCCAGGTGATGGATGAGGAGGACCAAAAAGCCAGGAGGAGGAAAAGCGCTGAAGCTGCATTTGTTGTAAAGGGCACCGAAGGGGAGGGTGCTACCCTGAGGCTGCAGACAAGGATAGGCCGCAGCACACATAGCATGAGCAGGGCATGGGGGCACATCTATGTCTATCTGGGAGAAGAGACAGCCCTGGCCGTGTGCTGAGACCTCATCCAAGCTAGGTAGGCCATACTCACGTTGCGGCTTACAGCCCCTCAGTGCCTGACTGCTTATTTTAAGATCAGAATGTAAAACACCCATTCTCTGGTGGAAAGACAACTTCCCTAGACTGCTGCCCCTCCCCTAGACTTTCACAACCCAAACCCTTATTGTTGGGTCCACAGTTGTCTGCAGTGTCCATAGAAAGCCGCACAAAGCACAGGGGTTTCTGCTGAGGTACTTATCTCTCCTCCTCCCTCTGGCCCTTACCTGGCTCTGAGCCCAGAGGCTCACAGTACTCTCCTTCAGGCTATCGGTCTAGAGGAAAAGGCAATACCCACTTCATGGGGCACCCCGTGGGCCTAGAAACAGTAAGATAGTCTCCACCCTTCATTGTCCTTCCATCTACCACCTGCTCAGTGACAAATGGCATTAGGTGCTGTAAATTTAGCCGATCCTTTTAAGAACAGACAGGCATTAGAGGCATCCCCCCCTCCCCTCCACCCCTGGGGATGAGCTGGGTGACCTGCAAGCCAGGAGGCTTGAATGCTGGGAAACCTGTCATTCTAGCCCCTGGGAATCTATCATTTTAGCCCCCTAACTTCCTCAGGCTCATTCCCTAACCCCTTCAGCATCTAACCCACCCAGCAGAGATGCTAGACCTACCTCACACAGGAAGCTGGGGAGATCTCAAAGTCTACTTTCCAGGCTCAGTTTTTGGCTTTGGGCAACAACCACAAAGGACTCAACTACCCTTGGATCCCAAGCAAGCAGGAAGGGAACACAGGGAAGCTGCAAGGGACTCTAGAAGTGGATAGGGGAATTGTTTGACGCTCCCAGGCTCAGAGCCAGTGCTCTCCACTCTGTGCTTGATCCCAGCAAGATGTCAACTCTGCATCAGGGCAACATCTGATCTTTGAGGGCACAGGACCCAACATGGGCTCATTGTTTTATTTTTGCTAATGTCAATCATCACATCTACCCAAGACTTCATCCCAACTTTCTCCACACCACTTCCTATGAGGCCTGGCACCATACCCCTGGGTTCCCTGCCAGCAGTCTGTTCCTGGTGACCCTGTCTGTGTCATATATGTGCTGGCTGCTGACCATTACATGCTAGTTCCCTAGATCCCCTACCCACAGGGCCAGCTAAAACAGCTTCACCCAAAACACACAGTTGGGACAACAGTTCTCCTCTATCACTTGCCAGGCAGACCTGGGCCAGGGATATATATAGAGAGAGCCTGTGGGAAGAGAGAGGCTGGGCTATCTGGGAGGGAAGATGCTCACAGTTGTCCAGAGGAAGCCATGGGAACCTTTCCCCTGCCAGGCCCCCATTTCATCTGGCCTGTGCTCCAACCCCTCTCAGATGACTCTGTAGAAAATACTAGTTCCCTGGCAATCAATTCTTTATCCCTGTTGTCTGGTTGCTATAGTCAGTCAGTGCTGGCCCGATGGGTCGATATATTCATGTGTGCCAGAGAAACACAGGCTGGTTCAGTGGGGGCCTGTGTGAACAGAAACTTCAGGTTCCCAACCCCTGGGAAGTAGAAAAGTTCAGAAACATGCAGCAGTGGAGGTGTGACTTGGAAATCAGTGACACTTACTGCAGCAGGAGGTAGGACATCCATCAACTTCTGAATGGGGATGTGAACCGACACACCCCACTCCGGATTTACCAACTCCACTTTAACCCTTTCTCACTCTAACACTGGATGGGGTGTTATTCAGAATGCTGGTCTGTTAGAAAACAAATGTCCTGCGCCATGACCCCAGCATTAAAGAATGTGTGGATTAAGGCTGAATAGACTACACTGGCATTTGCAGGTACCATGCATTCAAAGCAGTATTTCTGTTCCTAGAACTTCTGTCTCACTTGTCCATGATGATATATTTCTTTTTTTTGGGGGGGTGGTGGTGGGCAGAACCAAAAAAGATGAAGCCCAGCAGACAGGCGTGGTAACTCCCCAAAATTCAATGGACACAGAGTCCCCAGCAACTTGTTAAAATACAGATTCCCAACTAGGTAGATTGGAGCTGGATCCCAAATGTTGAGGTTGTTTTCCCTTGAAATGGTCTCACTTCATACCCCAGGCTGATCTTAACTTCCTGATGCTCTTGCCTCTGACTCCCAAATGTTGGGATTATGGGCATGCACCAACATGTCTTGTGAGATTCTACATTTCTAGCCAGCTCTCAGGACTAGCCAAGACCAGAGAATCTCTCCCATAACTACCATCCTTATTCAGATACCCACTCTGGCATAGTGAAATAGTTGGAGCCTCCATGCAGGGCTCAGGGAGAGCTAGCACACAGTAGGACCTCAATGAGCTGAGGTGACTATCTCCTGGGGGACCCTGGGTACTGTCTCCACACTACTTGTTCCTGAAATCCAGGCTACATACCTTCAGTGGCACTCTGAGAAGCCAACCTAACCCTGTGCGGATGATGGTATCAAAACCCGCAGGCAAAACAACCTGCTAGAGGATGCTCAGATACCTCTAGCTACAGCCAGTCTAGACACAGGCCACTCACAATTCACCCAGCTGGGTCAGCTCCCCCACCCCTGGTGACTATCAGCCTTCATGACCCCCAAGTGTAGACCTGAGTTACCATCATTAACACTAAGTGGGAATGGGATTATGGGGAGTCCTCAATAGGAGATTATTCTAAGTCATCCTGTAGCCCTACTCTGTGAGCCAACTCTGGACAGGGTCCCCTTTGCTTACTGCTCCATCCTGAGAGCAGGGTGACTGGGTCCCATGAGAAGGCAGAGCACAGGCAGCAGAAGGCAGTAGCTGTGGCTTCTTAGGAGAACTGACCTATGCAGCTGCCACTGATCCTGGAAGGCCTAGGTAGAGAGGACCTAGGAGAGGTATTGAGTGATCGGTCGTGGCATCCTCCTTACCATCCAGGCCTCCAAATGTGTATCTCCTCAAGAGAGAAACAGCAAAGCAGCAATTGGGCCC